TGGGTTTTGTAGGAGACTCAACTTCTTGGCCCAGGACGTTAAGGCCTTGAGTCCCACTATGTTAAGCGTCCCTATCTCTACTGAGATGCCTAATGCGCCTCAGGAGTGGTTAGCAGGGCCCCCTGGCCCTAATATCTTGCTCACATTACTCTCCGATGCACCTCTTCTGTGGAGAGCATAACCATGAGTAGGAGTTGGGGTGTATTCTGCCCCTTTCATCGCTGCTGTTTTCACTCCTCTCTTGGCTTTGCTTGGTTTCAATTTATCATTGTGGTGCACTTGTGTGCTTTTATTGGCAGCATTATTTTCTTGCACATTCCATTGTTGATTTTCCTTCCCAATTGGGTTAAATTCCACAATTTTGGGGGGTGCGCTGAACCTCAGTTTTGCTGCATTCATTTCCAAATTGGTTTCCGCCAAATTCGATCTGGTCATATTAAGTGTTTGGTTTTCCGCGGGATTTAATTGGTTCATTGATTCAAATTAATCCATGTCTTCCTTGATCTGTTCCAGTGATATGGATGATTCCGCCGAGGCCTTTGCCTTGGCCATGGCCAGCTTGTGAGCTTGTTTGGCCATTTTTTGTTTTTTCAGGGAAATTGTGTCAATTATTTTATATTGCTTATGTTCTCCCCAGTTGAAAGCTTGTGTTGTATCCGTGATTTTAGTGTACTCTGAGTCATCCTCCCCCATTTCCTCCTCACAGAATTCCATTTCTCTCAGGCCTTCTTTTATGGGACAAGCATGAATCTTGTGTCCAAAGGCCTGGCAGTGGTTGCATATGGGGGGTGCGCTTTCCACTGTTGCATAGAACAGCTGGGAATTTCCCATCAATGGTGAAGGATGCTATGTGAGGGATTTTTGTAATATCCTCTATTACATCCTGGTTCAGGGAAATAATTGTACTGCCTTCCCAGTGCTAAGGGTAGCATCAGCTGGAATCTTTGCATCTCAAATTGTTCAATTTCTCCATAGGCTTCCAAGCCTTCTTGGAGATGTCTTTTGACTATTGTGCGCTTCAGTGTGGTCAGAAGATAATCAAAAATTATAAAAATGCCTTTTGATTCTGTCCAACTGGTGCGTTTGGTCAGTACCAAATGCTGTCCATCAGGAAAGTTGAGTAATAATCTGACCTTCACTGCTTCATTCGCTTCTTCTGCAGTTTCAAACTGAAGATCTACCCAAACTTTGCGGATATTATGGGTTGTTAAGTACACCACGTGGAGGAAAAACCTTATGCTGGGCTTCACCAAACTTTTCCCACATTGTCAGTGTTTCTACGCCTAGGAAAACTCATATCCCATATTCCACCAATGACAGTGGTTGCAATTGGGATACTTCCATGTAAATGCAGTATTTTGTTAAAAAATTAATGAAACCTGTGGGGGTGCCACCTCAGATTTTTTATTTTTACTGAGATTTTTGTTTGTACCTGTGCGCTTGGTACCTTTGGGCAGTGCAGGTCCAGGTCCGCTTCACTTTACCACGTTCACCCAGCTCTTTGCTTTATTACTCATACTCATCTCACCTGTTATTGATTATCAGATTGTGCTTTTTAATCAAATTTTATTACTAAAATTGATAGTAATCAGAAAGAAAAATGTTGAAGCATTTTCTTTTGCAAAACTTTTTCATGAATCCATAAAGTCTATACTTAACCTTATATATCATTCAACAAAAATTCATTTCTAATATTTTATAACCTTACAGGAAAATGTGATTTCCAGTACCTGAACTCAAATGCAACACCCCTAACCCCCTTCCTCTAACACCATGCCCTATATGCCACCCTTAAGGAGGACAAGAAGTAAATTTACTTTATGGTTTTTTTTCATATCAGATCCTGAGTATAGGATGAAACATTTGACATCATCCTTTTGTTTTGGGCCCATTAGTACTATTAAAATTGATTCTAACTTCAATCACAATTAAATTTTTTTATATGTCAAAATCATGATAAATAAGATAATAATTTCAATATATATAGTAATAGAATGATCTAGTATCTGTTTTGGATTGAAAAGAAAATTGTACTTTGATATAAGTATCCCAAAGATTTAAATTTCAAAAGCTTATAATCAGTCAACTATTAACTTTTTAATTAAAACTAATACTATCTGTATAAATTTACATATTAGAACTAATATTTCTAGTAAAAAGAGTCTGGTTTTGCAATTATGTGCTAATTATTGAAGTACATTTACGCTCATGACATAATTCAAATAGATCATCTACTATTATAGATAAAAAAGAGTTAAATTAATTATGGATCTTAAAGTACAAAAAAATAGAAAAGTAAATGACACTTCATGTTAAGATAAAGATATATCATAACTTATATAGATTGAAATGAGTAATTCTGGTTAAAAAAATTTAATGATAATATCATTTAGTTATTAATTAAATTGTAGATTAGGATAGAATTAATACATGATAACTATTGCTATAATAATAATGATAAATAAGTATCTTTTAGTATATCAATTAACTAAAATGTATGATAATATTGGGACCATCTTGGGACCATCTAGTACTAAAAAAAAATATTGGGACCATCTAGTACTAAAAAATGTATGATAATATCATATTATTGCTAGATAGGTTATCTTTGACATAAGATTTCATAATAAGTGTTTCTACTAAATGTGTTGTTTAGATCAAAAATGGGACTATTTAAACAGATGCACTTTTTTTAGTACTAGATGGTCCCAACCCAAGGGGGATTCATCGATGTTAAACAGATGCACTTTCATAGGCATTAAAATGAAATTTTAAATACATTTTGTTTGCCATTGATTGTTCATATATACATTGGGAGTCCCAAGCCTTTTAGGTTATGAGAGTCTAAGAAAAATTTTTATTTGTATGTTACAGGTAAAAAATTATATTGCTATATATCTATATAGAATAGGGAAAAGACTATAGTTAGTCTTTTTAATTAGTTTCACCTGTAGCTTTATATAAACCAATCATAAGTTATACTCTATTAGTTTGTATTCAATATAATAAAATTATAACTGGTCACTTATCATATGACTTATAGTACCTTGGTATAATAAAGAATTCAGAGGATTATATCAAATTAGTTTTCTGTTTGGTATAAAAAGGTCTTGCTAAACCTATATAAAATGCATATATATATATATATATATATATATATCTTAGAAAAGCATAGCAAGTATATATAAAGAGAAGTCTTACATGTACCCTTGCTATATTTAAGATAAAGAATAGATTCATTTATATTTTATATATATTATGAGTCAGGCCCAAAATGAATCAGTTTGGCTCAGGACATAGTGGGAATTATAAACCTTTTAGAATTATATTTCTAAATCCAATGCAAAAACTTTGCTTACAATAAGAAAAGCACTAGATAACTTTACATTTAGTTTACTTTAGCAAAAAATAGATACTAGTCTTTATAAAAGACAAATTAATCATGTCATGTTTACATGGCTTCATTGATGCAAAAAAAATGCCAAGATAAGGCTGGATGTCAGGAGTCCAAAAAGGTCAATCTGAAGAACCTCTTTGACTTAAAGCACACCTTGGACCAACGCTGGGTGCAGGCCAGATATGCCCAGGTTGGTACAGGTGAAGTGTATGATAACCAGCCCTGTGTTATGGCAGTGGTTTAAAATGGATTAGTTATCTTCTTAACAGCAATTTTTTGGTTTGATCGCTTGGAGAATGGGGGTTCAAAACCTGTTCAATTTCAGCATTTCCAAATCAGGATGGCTCAGCTTTCAATCAATCATTCAAGTTCATTTGATCTTGAGCTACAGTACTCTAGCTGATGGTGGGATGCACTGATTGGTTTTTTTAGGATTGGAACCATTTTCCATGATTGATGACTTGCCGCCCCTTGTTTAAAGTATAGTTCTTGAGACTAATTTCTTGGTTGTCATCTTCCAATAATAAAATTTACCCATTCATTTACATTTTTAAATTTATGGTTACTGGTGCTGACCTGTGCTTGGACCTCCTTGGGGAAGTCTTTAATAGCGTTGGTCATTTTCTTTTTTAAAAAATTAGCCATCATATCTAGTGCACTATTGGGCCCCCTTTGTCCCCTCCAGACTGAGACACCCAAACACTCCAGCACTAATATCTGCTTGGTTATGGACCCCCCTGTGGGGTTCACCCAAGTGGTGTTGTTTATTTGTTACCAGCTACTTTATACGGCATTATACACCCTTGCATTGGGTTACTTTGGCTCTGACACCCTTTGTGGTGCCCTCTTTATCATAATCCTGACAACTAGTTCCCTGATGGTGGGACTGTGCACCTTGCACCACCTCTATGAGAATGGGAGAGTTACAGACACTCTCCTAATAGATCATATACTATAAAATTTTCACTGAGCTGAATGTTTTAATATATTAAAAATCACTAGATAAAATAAGCACTCATTCTGCATAAAAGGTAACTTTTATATTAAAGGTATATTTTTACAGTATAAAAGTTCATTTGCTTTTTAAAGATCATAAAATGCTTCGAGCTGTCAGTCCATTTACTTCTAATCTGTAATGATATGATTTCAGTTTTGTGTGAACATAAATTATTAGAGCAGTAAAATTATTATATAGTCTCAAAATAAGGTTAGAAACATGATTATTTATGAGAAATAGTTAATCATAGACTATGGGAAATTAAAACGTAGTTTTATTATTTTCTAAGCCATGATTATAGAATATTTAGAATTCACTTTAAACATAATTTACTTTATAGGGGTTACATTAAGCAATTAAACTTATTGAGTGCAGAATATAAATTACAATCAGTTGATAGCAGGAATAACCAAATTAAGCTAATCTTTATCAAGATTTAGGTATAATACCAAATTACTCACTAATCCAGTCAAGGAGATAAAAAAACTTGCTTACAACATAATGTTTGCACCAAATGAAAATATGAAACCTTATTTATAAACTATATACACATAATAATTAAAAAAGATTTACAATTTTCTATATAAACAAAAAAATCTTTTATAATCCGATTGCCCGGGATCGAACCAGGGACCTAAGGATATCTACAGATTACAGTCCTTCGCTCTTCCAACTGAGCTACAATCGGTTAAGATTGAAGTTTTATTTCTTTCAATACATAGCTTTACGGCTTAACTCTAAAATTTGTACTAAGCTTGATGATATACATACGTTAGCTTTTTAATACTTCAATAGTAATAACATTTTTGAAACATAAAAGATGCTTTATCACTATTAGTTTTCTTATGCATATTGAAAAAATGTGTTAGATAATTTTTAAAGCTAGTACTACATGAAATCTATTTCAAGAAAGATAACATATTTATCAGAAATCTTATTATCACAATTAGAAACCTATTTTACAATCAACAAAAATTATTTTTTGTCTAGCAATAATGATTTGATAAAGTTGACCTTTTAGCTTAGCAATATACTTTATATAGATATCTAGTCCATTATCTTAGTCCTTATACATAATACTTTTTTGATAACACCTTTTTTTTAGTACTAGATGGTCCCAACCCAAGACACCTTTTTGCTTATGACTTTAATTATATTATCATCTGTCACAAACTAATGTTCATAATTAATTATATTATTTTTAAAATTCTCACTCCACAAACGTAAATTTTATCCAATATATGTAATTAAATCTATAACTACTAAAAAACACATATATATATATAATGACATTATGTAAAGTAGGATAAAGGCAAAGTATATGTAGCTTTAATACTAAGCATTAAGATGGGTTGACCTTAAAGCAAAACTATGCTGGGTTTCTTCATGAGAAAGAAATAAACCCATGCACTTTTGAATAATAGTGGTAGATTTTTACCAATAGGCTAACCACCCTTTGCATTTATAAGTATCAATTAACTCAGTATCTAATTTTTGATGACATGGGTTTAGATATAATTGGAAAGTAAAAACATAATCTTATATATTGTTCTATATCAAACTAGCCATTATTGATTATTTTAAACTTCAATTCATCTCTATCCTGTGTTCAGTTTGCTAACTTTAAATTAAAGTCAGGTTGTTGGGAACATCTAGTACTAAAAAAAAATTAAAGTCAGGTTGCATGCTAGGGTGAAAAGGGTTGATTGATTAACATTATTTTTTTAATTACAAAAAAGGCACATACTATCAATATGAGTCTTATTGATAAGTGTTTCTTGGAGCCTAGATTATAAATTGATATATTGCTGATAAAAGTTACATGAAGTTACTACTTAGAGAAAAACGAAAATTTACAAACCTTAAGGATGGTAATACTACACCAAAATTAGTGAAGGTTCATGATAAGTTACAACACATAAATTGATGGCATATTTCATAATTACACAAGAACTGTCCAGTAAAATCAACTAATAATAATATATCTATTTAAACCAATGATACTTTCTGTTTAATAGTTGTATTTCTGTGAAATAATATTGTATCAAATGTAATACTAAGAAGTCACATTAGCAAAGAGATAATTTTTTGTTCTATATATCATCTAACTTTGGGTAACAATAAACAAAATAAAATTCAGCACTATTTTATATTTTACTAAATATGTCTTTTATCACAAATTAAGTTATATTTTCTTTAGTAGATACAAAACTGACTATATATCATTATTTCAGTTAGATGACTAATGAAGTTCAGGAAAGATCACAAATTAATTTTTTTATAAACCATAAGAAGCCCAAAATTAAAGGGGATCTACAGTATAATGAGATGTTAACTTATAACTCAAGGGCAATGTGAGGAAACTAATTTTCAAAGACTTCAAAACAAAATTTAGCATTCAATGATGTGAGAAAATCATGAGTTGAAGTGAGGAAGTCTCAGGAGTAGGGAAGAGTTATGTAGGCAATGCTTTGCTAAGTTCCACAGATATGATCTGATAGCATGCAGCAGTGTTGACGCCATGACTGTAATGGTCAGGTTCAACCCAATTGTTACATTTTGACTCAGGATTTAGAAATACAAATATAAGTCAAAAATCAAAAGGAGTCTTATTGAGGGTTGAGCTCAACGCTAGGCTGTGCCCCTCCCAATCTATATTTTTGCTCAAAAGAGCCTAAAGAATGGCGCGTGAAGGGGCTCCTTAAAGGGCAACTTTAAAGGTCAGCAAGAAGTTACCAAATATCAGTTTATAGTTCTCTTCCTCTCAGAGGCCACTTTAGCTTCTACCTTGCCTTACATTGCAATTTTAATGACATGAAAATTTTTTTATGTGACAAAAACCTGAGTTCTTTGGGCTTGGCTTTTCAATTTGTTCTGTATTTTTCATGATAAGATTGTAGTGCCAAAGCATTTTGGAATAATGCCTTGCCTGCCAATCTTATTATGTGAATAAACATATAGGTTAAATCAGTGTTTGCAACCTCGCTTGACTGTTTTTCTTTTTCTGAATTCAAGTTTACCCAATTACAAGCTTAATTTAGTTAGTTGCATAAATGAAGAACACTTATCTCAATAGTTTAACTATGTGCTAGACAATATTTCAGCGTTGTCTAATGGCACCTAACATAAGGCTTATGGCGTTTGGAAACTGTATTTTCCATTTTTTACATTAATCTGAACTCAATGTTCCTCTGAAACGCCATCAGATCCCCAGTTCAGACAACTTCAGTGGTCACTTTGGGCACCAGTTGTAGAGTAACCAACAACAGAGTGAGCTGGTTACTGATGGCCAACCATGGACCTAAGATGATGGTTAGTGAAAATACCAGTGGGATCACCCCTCACCTGTCATCTGGTGGAACAGAGGGGACCTGGCCCAGCAGAGCTCCCTCACCCTCAGACAGTCCACTCTGCGTAGGGTAGCCATCCATATGAACTGGACTGCAAACCCTCTCACAATACTGTTAGGTAAGAACCTTCCCAGTCAGGATGGGAAGACCATCACCAACAGGAGCGTGAGAAGAGAGCAAATCCCAGCCATGTTTTTGTGTGCTTCCTTGAGTTGAAAGCTGATTTCAGAAGCCCAGTTCTTACTGACCCTTGTTGTGGTAGCCTCACCATGAGGGTCCTGATATTTATTTTGGGAAAATTTTCCTGGGGTCAAGGTAGCTCACCCTAGGAAGTCCTCATGGTGGCCACCTCCTACATTAAGGCACCCTCTTTTAGGAGAGCTCCCTAAGAGGGGGGTGATGAAATGGTCAGGTTTAACCTGATCGTTATATTTTGCCTTGGAGTTTAGATATCCAAACCAAATTCAAAAAGCTTTAAGGGAATTTGTTTAAGGGATGAACATGGCGCTGGGCTGTTCCCCTTCCAAAATTTATTTAGCCTTAAAAGAGCCTAAACTTTGGCGCATGAAGGAGCTTTCAAAAGTGAGATATTAAAAATTTTAGCCTTCATATTCCAAACCTCAAATCAGAAATCTCTTCCTCTTAGGGGCCACTCTGGCCTCTATCTTGCCTTAACTTTTGGTTTCCATGACGCAACTAGTTTTTGTATCATATCAAAAACCTGAGCTCTTGGGGCTTGGCTTCCCCAAATTACTCTGTTTTTTCCTTGTCAAGTTTGCAGTGCATGACATCTTGGGAATGATGCCTGCTTGACAATTTATTTATGTAAATAAAAGCAAAGGTTACTCTGGGGTTTGCATCCTTGCTTACATGTCATTATTTTCCTCATTTGATTTTCCTTAATTCTAGGGCTAATTTAATTAGTAGCATTAAGCTTTGATGCTTACATCAAAAGTGCAGATATGTGCTGGACAATATTTAGAAATCATCTAATGTCGCCTAACATAAGTTTTATGGCGTTTGGAAACTAGAATTTTTATGTAAAGCAACAATGACATGCTCAGGAGTAGTTAGAGTAATAATGGAAAAACTTAACAGCTCTTTAGAAAATGTGCTATCATGATGAGAGAAAAAGTGTAGGCAGCATAAAAAACTAAAGGTCTCATGTTGATGAAGTCTATTATTACACAGAGTGCTAAGTATGAATATATAATATTTTTATAGGCCTCCAAACTAAAGTGGAAGCCATAAATGGCAAATTAGTGGTCCATGTAATGAAAATGTAGTATTTTACTTGTATAATATAAAAAAATGCAAAAATTACTAAAGAAATTGGTTCTTGGAGAGGATTAACATATATACTAGAGTATAAAGTGGTAAGACAAATTTCTAGGATTAAGATACATGATTAAGATTTAATATCAAGTAAATAATCATTAAGAAGTGTAACCTAATTCATGGATTTTTAGGCCTAGCACTCTCCTATCAACTTATTAATGGTAAGTTTAGATATATTAAATTTATATTAGTATGTGTTGGGATTGAAAAAATTTTCAATATCAATTGGAAATCAAATGATAGATTTGTCACAATCTGTTCAAAGAAAAACCATTGTGGCAGAACCTACCAAAATTTTTATGATTGATGAATCCTAAAATGAGACACTGAAGGCTTAAACTCACCTTAAAACCACTTATGTAATTACTTAAAGGTATTGACAGTTGGGGAATCATTTAAATTGTCTAAACCAACTGGAAATGATTATGTCCAGCTAAATCCTTTGCATTCTGCCATTCTTCTCCAAAAATTACCATATTCCCTGTGATCCCAAACCTCAACCAAATCCTTTAAATGACCTTAAATCTAAATATAAAGGAATCATTATTTTTCCCTAAACTCTACCTAGTTGAGAGACCTTACCTGCCTACTATAAGAGTTTTGCCTTTCTGGAAATTACTTTCCTGTTAAGCTATTTGCCCTAGGGACAAAAGTACAATAAGAAGTTTGGCTGAAGCTACTAGCAACTATTAAGTATGTAGCCTTTGAATTTAAATACAAACTTGATACTGATGCTTTCTGTCAGGTCACTTCTTGGGCTATCTGGTGTAGACATATTTTCACGTATATCAGCCCAGAAATTGTATACCTACTGCCATGGAGTAGAAAATTTGTTTGAATAATAATCCATCTGCTGATGGAAATTATGGCGCTCAAATTAGCTCCCTCAAGAAGCATTTGTTCAAGGTAGTGCGTGGGGTGTTAATGAGTATAAAAAAATCCCTCAGTGAAGATCTTACCCCGATCTCCTTATATAGTCAAGTTGTTTCCTTGTCCGCCA